TGTCACTAAATGCAACCAAGTGTTTGCAAAGATAAAAAAAAAAAAAAACGATTATGTGGTGTGCAACAGGACTCTTGTTCACTTGATCCAAATGTTACAAGTGCTSATCAGGACCTACTGACCCCCCCGACCCCGCCTCACGCACACAAACACACACACACACACACATGCGCACCCCTCACACTCTAATCAAGATGCAACAGAAGTTTCACGTGAAGATGCTCTGACTCGAGTTGTGTGTAATTGTGTGTCCATGCTTCTTAGATGACCCTGCTGAGAGAGGACTGTACTTGAACACAAGGGGAAAAAAATACAAATAAAAAGACTCTTTTCAATCAAAAAATTAAAAAAAACTATTGTCTCTGCTGCTTTTGATCATTTACTTGCAAGGATATAGAATTCCTTTGAATTAGTTGCTGTTTCACACAAATGCTTTTATTTATTTTTTTCAAAGTCAAAATGAAGAGTGTGATGTTAGGTAATCCGCAACACTTTGATGTGGTTTACATTAATCCACGTCTTTAAAGTATTTTTTTTTTGTTCAAATAGGCTTTAAGTGCCTTTGAAGATCTAACAGACATAATTTAAACACATTTTCTATTTACACCAGTCCTTTTGTAAAGGAAGTCATTTTGACTTTAAATTCTATTTTTAAAATCCAAGAAGTTTKCCTGAAACTCTGTACACACAGTAAAAGAATGTCTTATAAATAAATCTTACAGGTTTACACATTCATATTGGGTTAGAACTAGCATACTTTAATAACGCCTTATTAAAAACTAAAGGTTTGACATTCCTCGAAGGAAATCATTAGGGGTGCAACAATACAGAAAWTTCACGATTCGGATCRATTCCATACTTTAGTCTCACGGTTCGGTATTGTTTTGATACAAAAAAAGAGAGAAATTGCCATGCCCTTCTAACTTGTACTTATTGAAATTAATTCTGAACATTTGTTTAACCTCAAAAGTACAGTTTTTAAATTAAATGTTGCTGAAACACCAAGTTTCTSAGTGAATCTGTGCTCGACAATGCAGGTGGAGTAGTCAAACACAGATTCACTGAGCCTTCAACACAGGGCATCTTCAGAAGACAAGCTGATAAACTACATTTTAAAAAATATGTATTGTTTGAAACGAATGTGTATTGAATGGTTCAGTACAGACACATGTATTGTTGCAGCCCTAGAAATCATTTCACCAGAAATTTAAGTCAAAATACGTAGTTATATTCTGAGAAATGAAGGAGGTTTTGGTCAAACTTTGGTAACAATATTGTGCGTGATCTCATGTGATGTTGTGAGAAATRTAACAGCACTGTTGGATGACCACACCAAATTTTATCTCAAYATTTGTGAAACTGGCTGAGCTACAGCAATGTTGTGTTGGGGTCAGTTAGTTGTGGCAGCCATYTTGGATTGCGTTGACTTCAAAAACTAATGTCTGGTACAATTTACATTTTTCACATTTGCACACTTCATCTTTCAGAGAATTAATAGACCTTTTGCATTTTTGTCTGGTTTATTCTAYGAACTATACCCAGCTTATTTAAGCCCCGGTGTTAACTATCATCTTTTTACAAATTATGTTTCCTGGAGGCTTGTCTGACAGAAATGTCTGAACATGTTGTGTGATAATGTTCGGATAACGGTCCCGTCAACACTTCCTGCTTCTAATGGTGCCTCTCAGATACTGTTAATGTACTTATACAGGAGTGATAGCCATGACACGGAGCCTCATATTTCCCCATGATTTCGCCCCGAGTTACAGCAGTGGAATGCATTWAGAGCGGTTTTAATAACAAAGATATGTAAAGATGCTCCTACACACACCACCTCCTGTTATCACATTACTGACTAGACTTCAAAAAATGCAGTAATTGAGATTCCCATTTTGCCAATCATTTTTGTGAATTGCCCCTACAGCTTTGATCTTATTATCTAGATATCCTTTAGGATTGAGTTAAACTTGGCAGCAAATAGGATGAGGCTGAACTGAAGGTAGCAGCATTTGTTGTAATCCATTGGTATTCATGTCTGCCCCTCCTCCTCCTTCCCTCTCTTTCCCCTCCTTTGATGCCGTCTAGCTCAGGCCTGTGAAATGTAGTGCCGGGTAATAAGTCCWTTGCGTTGATTATTAGCCTTTACAATAGAGGCATGGCTTCTCTGTCTGAATGTGCTCCCACAGTGAAAGGCTGGCGTAACTTAATGTGGCGTGAAAATAGCTCTTCAATTTTCCTGCGCGTAGCCTTCCTCGAAACTGCCCTGTTCCACCCTGCGGATGCCTCCGGCCTTCACTGTTTCACTCTGTCTTTGCCAGCCTTCTCTCCCACCTCACTCCAAAAGCACCCAAGCCCATTAAGTCATGGAAATGCTCCAACACTGTGGTGTGAGGATGCGTGCACGTCTACGAGCTTGTCGGCGGAGATCCGGGGACGAGGTTAGATGTAAAGTGAGGCATGAGGGGAGAAGAGAAGGAGACAGAAAGCGTGGCGGGGAGCAGGTGGATGAGCTGGGATTGATCTGAAGATCTGAGCGTGAAATCAATTTGCGTCCAACGGAAAGTGAGATCACTTAGAGACACTGTGTTCCACAAATAGACCTTGACAAAATAATGTTTCATTTCTGAAGGATAAGATGCCCACCTTTCATGCCAGAAGGTCATTCTATGTAATGACAGTTGCAGCTGTTCCGGTCAAAGCTTTAAAACATCAATATGCCCAATCACATGCAACGTCACAAAGTCATTAGTGTTGGGAATTCCCCTCCAACCAATTCCTAAGATCAAATTCTTTTAAAAAAATGTGCATCAAACCATCTCCCTTAGAGATAGGGTGAGAAGCTCGGTCATCCGGGAGGGACACAGAAGAGCCGCTGCTCCTCCACGTCGAAAGGAGCCAGTTGAGGTGGTTCATCTGCTTAGGATGCCTCCTGGACGCCTCCCTGGTGAGGTGTTCCAATCATGTCCCACTGGGAGGAGGCCCAGAGAAAGACCCAGGACACGCTGGAGGRACTATGTTTCTSAGCTGGCCTGGGAACGCCTTAGGATTYCCCCGGAYGAGCTGGCCCAAGTGGCTGGGGAGAGGGARGTCTTCCAGGATAAACGGAAGAAAATGAACGAACAGACAAAAATGTGCATCTGAAAAGAAGCATAAATGACTATAAATGACCTCTCAACAAGACATTGATCATTAGCATCCATCCAAAGTGGTCGAGAAGTGGCTTAGAGAAAACTTCAACATTTTGGACTGTCCCCATCCCATCTCTCAAATTGGACTGAGAACCTGTRAATTTTCAGCTATTGATTCTTCCCAGCAGTCACAGAAGCCATCTTTAAAACYGAAATTGGGTGTCAATAAATAATCCAGTCTCACGGCAAAACCRTGTTCAGCAGCACAAAAATTGAATSTATTGATCCGTGCCCACAGACACAATTTATTCTGTATTATTTTGCCCTAATGGGTGTGAAAATAACCACAAAGAGGAACACTGTGTCACCAGACTGCTGCATCATACAGASGTGCCAGACAAGCTGACCAACTGAGTTTYAGTGCTGTTTAAATCTTATTATGCTGTTCTTATAGTTTGCCTTGTGGGCCGATCCGTGTTGTACTAATCACATTGTAAAATACACCCCAAAAATTAAGGTTTGGAATACATTGACTCACATGTAATTGTTTAAGGTGGTAGCATTCTTTGACTTTTCATGTCAGAGTTTTAAACTAAGATCACTTCATATCAATAAATGATGGCATTATTGCTGTTTTGGGCAAACCTTGAAAATAACCTTGTGYAAWATCCTCATGTGACYTCACAAGATGYGAGTCACAGAATGTGCATCAAATGACTCTCAGCTCCTACCACACCCAGTTTTACTTCAATATTTATAAAACTGGCTGACTTGTAGCAATAAAACACAATAATAACCACGTGTACACATTTTCACTCCCGGATTAGGAGCTGATGAGTATCTCAGATTCAGAAGTACAGAGCAGAAGACGAGCAGGCAGAAAATCCTGCCTAAATGATGATCTCGCCCAAATCCTCTTCTGTTTGAATCGGGCGTGCTTAGCTCTCACTTTTCATTTCCCCTGCTGTCAGAAATTGTGCTGCCTTYACTGACGGAGCYACAAAACGATGCAGCGTCTGTGAGCATCTCTACAGTGAGACGTATACCTGCGTTTGACATGGGTGYTATCATGGTTCGTTTACACCTGTGGGAAGAAGCTTGATGTTTCCATTTGGTGTATTTCTCAGGGCGTCCTTGTGTGAACTGGTCCAATTAACGCAGTGTTGGGTGGAAAAAGCTTGAACAGAAAGGACTGAAAACAGWA